AAAATATATTCTTTGTATGAAATATGTTGGAGAACCTTTGTGCGCTAAAGGATTATTTTTAAACGAAACCGACGAAATAAAAATTTTAAAGAACCTTACCTTAGGACGACGTGATCGCTTCCAGGCTATTTCAAGTTTTAAAAATAGATTTATATTTTCATTCAGTTTTTTTAGTGGTCCTGTGCGATTTTTCTGAACTATTTTAGTTTTATCCAAAGTAGAAAAATACGAGTATAATAAAAAGAACTTGGTTCTGTTTTTAACCAATCAATTTTTTGTCCAAAAAGCATGTTTATTTTTGAGAAAAGTCATTTGCTTCTAATTTAAAGTCATGAGTTTTACTAGTTCTAAACAGGTTTCTAATAATATACTAATAAGCCAATTTTGTCAACATTTTTTAAAAATATATTAAAATGTAAGAAAATTGCATTGGCGGTGTAAATTATGGGCACATTTCCATAAAAGGCACCTCTAATTGCATCAAAGCGCTAGCTTTGTTCATTTATGCAAAGTTTTATTCTGTTACTAATTTATATTTCTTAAAGCAGTGTAAAAAATACTTGTTTCCAAAAAAAATTACACTGTGTCAAATAACTATGCTTAGGACACATAGTAATTACGTATATGTAAAAAAAAAAAAACTTAAAAATGAAACTTTAGTTTTTGTTGTAACCAAAAACACTCGTAACACAAAAATATGAATAAATCATTTGTAAATAGAACCTAAAATGGCCCTAAATTATTTAAATGTTACAATTTTTGCTAGTAATAGATTTATTTAATTAACCTAGTTTGACATACTATCTGCTAAAATAACTTCTATCAATATTCAGAATCAAAGTAATGTTAATCATGCGCAAATGAGTTCACAGGATTACACCATCCGACACACCCATTGCGTGCCACGGCCCTATAATCTATTCAGTACTAAAAGTTTATCCATCCCCCTAATTGGTATAAAGCTTTGAACGGGTTTTAATCAACGGCCTAAGTAAATCGTTTTTAATTTTTGACGACACGTTTGGCTCAGTTTGTAGTGACCCTGCTTGCTGTGCCAGCGGTCGCGGGTTCGAGTCCCGCTGGGAGCATTCATTTGTGTGATGAGCACGAATGTTTGTAGTACAGTCATTCTTGTTTATATTATAAATATAAACACCCATGACTGTAGTACAAACATGTATGTATTTAAAGTTATATATGTGTATTATATCAACTATCTGGTATCCATAACACAAGCCTCGTAGGTTAACATGGAACTAGATGGTGCTGCGTGTTAATGTCCCAACGTATTTATTTATTTATTTTATTACTTATTACTTTTGCACAAACTACAGTAGACTTAACTAATTTAGATTGCAAAATCGTGCCTTATTTTTTATATAAATGGAAATAGTTTATAAAAAAAAATAGATTTTATAATCATACGTTCTACTAATATTACGAGTATAATGTGAAAGTTTGTGTGGATGGAAAGATGGACGGATGTTTGTTACACTTAAAAAAAATACTGAACGGATTTTGATGACACGTTTACAGGAACTTTACATAGTATAAAATGAAGTCGCTCCCGCTGTCTGTTCGCTTAGATCTTTTAAAGTACTCAACGGATTTTAATGCAGTTTCCAGCAATAGATAGAGTGATTCAAGAGGAAGATTTATATGTATATTACGTGCATGTTATAATACGGAAATGCCGAGGAACTCAAAGATTTGTATTTCATACTAACCGTGCCGTTGGGTGAGTCGCTATTAGAATATATATATTTCAGATTAATCATGGGCTATAATTTTTAACTTGTAGCAATGCATAATTAAATTACCCGTGCGGAGCCGCGGGAAAATGCTAGTATAATATAATTAGCATTAACTCACACCGTATAGTATGAAAATTTGAAAGTTTTATATATTCATTGCAAATTACATCACTTCAGGTGATATTTTAACGACGGAAAAAATAATTACAACCTACAAGTACAACATTTTCGAATAATTAATTTTGTATTTGCACATCATCCCAGTTCAGTTGCACCGACAGCATTTTTAATTAATAATTCTGGATCTATGCACTATTCAAACAATACGTAGTCAGCCCTTATAGGTAGATTTACGTTTTTCTTTTGTGTCTTATCTGAAAGAAGACAGAAATAACCGATATACTTTAGGTTTATTTACTTACTAGCGACTCACTCTCGCTTCGCTCGGGTTCGTCCCTATATACGTTTTAAATTAAAATGGATATAAGTGGTAGTAGTGGTAAAATGGTATAAGTCTTATTTTTTCCGACACCTCTAACAAATATCGTTATATTTTAGCCAAGGTATACAAAAACTTAACAAATTATATACTAAAACCTTCCTCTTGAATCACTCTATCTATTAAAGAAAACCGCATCAAAATCCGATGCGTAGTTTTAAAGATTTAAGCATACATGGGGATATAGGGAAAGAGAAAGCGACTTTGTTTTATACTATGTAGTGATTATGAAAAGACAGTACTTACATAATTAACAAAATAACAAGTAAAACGATAATAATCGCGAAAGTTAAAAAACTGCGTCGCACTTATTAACATCTTCCTAAGACACAAAATATAATTATGCACTATTATCATATAAGATACATGCTGTGATTGCCTTTATTTTATTACCATAAAAGTTGTAAAATCACACAGTTGGTTGGTTGCAATTACGAAGACGAGATCGCTAAGTCGAGATCTCGAGGGATCAGAAATTCATTCATTAAAGTGTTTGACTTTATTTGGTTTTTATCTTAAATACAATGACCCTTAGTTAATGTATCTATACATATAATAAATAAAATTGTAACTAACCCGAATCTGTACATTAAATATTTTTTGGAAAATCTTATTGAAATAAACATTATTTTCGACACAGAGGCCGAATCTATAGTTTTTAGCATTTTTGGCTGTCATCTGGCTGGCTTCACAGAAAAACCACTAGAGGGATTTTGATGAAATTTGGTATGGTGATAGCTGGCTATCATCATATCTCATTTTAGAGAAAAAATACGAAAACTGCAATGTAAGAGTATACTAATATGTAAAACCTAAGAATTTGGTTTTTGATCATCTGAATGCGGGCGGAGCCGCGGGCAGTGCTAGTTACAAATAAACTATGTTATATGAGTAAATAAATGTACTTTTACTCCATATGAAGGCACATTATATATTTGGGTTATGTAAAATGTCAAAAGTGAAGTCAAGTTTTGACGTTATCCTTATATTTTGTAAAAGCCAGAAATTTTTACACAAGTTTTAAATATACCTACTTGAAACTTTGTAAGTGAGAGTTTAAGTCAAACTCAGCTTCATAAGTGAAAATGAGATTCAACATCTCGTCCCTTTAGGACTTGAAATACAATATTTTACCAATGTTTCAAGTTTTAAATAAGACTACGATGACAATCAGGTCTTAGGCAGTTATAAGGAGTTGATATTATTTTAAGAATATAACACGAAACATTACAATAAAAATAAAATTCAAAATTTAAAGTAATTCATTTTTAAGACAACAAAAATCAATTAAAAAAAAATCTCTCTTAGCTTTTTAACTTTTTTAAAAGTACCTATTAATATTTTAATGATAAGCGTCGCCGCGTCGGGGGACCGCTAATACTTTATTATTATCAATCTTCTTTTTATTTGTATTCTGGTTTCTATTTTATTTATTTATTACTATTAAGTATCAATCGGATCTGTGAAAGTTATTAATAACCTTTTGTCAAGTAGGAAATGAGTGATGATCATCAAACGCATGAACAGATCTTTATAAATTATAGCTAAAAACCATTTCCATCACGTCAGCTGTCAAACAAAAAAAACCGCTTAAAAATCTGTCCATTCGTTTAGGAGCTACGATACCACAGATAGACACACAGATAGATACACATACACATAGACACAAACAGACACGTCAAACTTAACTGTAACATATTATCCCCTCTTTTTGTGTCGGAGGTTTAAAATGGTTCGATTTTACATATAAAACGAATTAATTAAAGGTCACACCTTGAAAATCCATTTCAAAATAAATTGAGATATTTCATTAAAAATCGGACTATAAATCTTCAACTCAATCATAAATTCATAATTTGAATCAAAGAGTCTTTTAACAACAAAGGGAATTATATTTTCAATCCATATATATATATATATATATATATATATATATATATATATATATTTTAATTTTATATCGAATTATATACTTAATTCTGCGTGGGAAAGTAATTTTCTGCCATCTAATGCTGTTTTCATCTTAGGCTTATCGTTATTGTTTAAAAACTTTATAATGTAAGCAGACTTAGACTTACTTTTCTACAAAACTGGCTTCATTATTAAAATATTTTTATACCTTTGCCATTTTAATAAGATTTTTTTATGTTATTTTTTATTACTTATAATAAAAAAATTAATATTAGTTAATATCAAATAAAATTAGTCAATATATGTATCATACATAGTGTTAGTATTAGCATGTACGGCTGCGGTTGTGGAGGTCTTGGGTACGAGTCCAAGGTAGGGGTTAGTGTAGTTATTGGGTTTTTATTTTAAGAATTTATTTACAGTATCAACTCGAAGTAGGATAGTTGGCGGTGTTTGGCTTAGTGAATACAGCCATAAAACGGATCGATGGGAATGGTCACGGGAGATATTAAGGTTTTAGACATCATATTAGGCATTATATACTTGTTACATAAAGCATTCGAAATGTCGCAAACAAAAATCAAAATAAATCCGCAAAATAATTTGAAAAGATCGCTTTAGTTAAAAGTTCAATGATACTTTTGATTCACTCAGTCCTGCTAAAAACTGTTCATCTTCCGGAGATTAGCAAATATATGGCACGCTGGCAGAGAAAATTTTCTTGATTGGTTTGGGTTTACATCGAAATAGAGCTTATGTCCTGGATTTGTACATAGGCCGAGTGGGCCACGGTCAAAAACTAGTGATAAAATATATATGTATTATGTATATCTTGCCTTCAAAGTCTTGTTCAGTGTAGTCATGGTGAGTGTGCTTTCTTGCCGCCGGATCCGTTGGGGCTTCTTCATCATCAGCTCTACCGTCCATTTTCTATTATCTGCAACAACAGAAATCGTATTAGTATGGTGTAACTTTACAGATATAATATAAGTGGTAATGTGATGGGTTTATTAGAAGAATATAATTCCATTAATATTATGAATGTGGAAGTTTGGATGGATGTATGTTTGTTACTCGATCACACCAAAACGGCTGAATGGATCTGAATGAAATTTGTTACTGAGATAGATTATAGTCTGGAATAGTACATAGGTTTCTTCTTATCCCGGAAAAATGTACGGTTCCTATGGGATAGATATGTTATTGCGTTTTACAACCCGAGCGAAGCGAGGATGAGTCGCTAGTTTCTTTATTAATACAAACTACTGAGGACTTTATAATTAAGAAAAGATTTTTACAATGTGTTCAGCCCGCTTTATTGTCGCATTGCTGAACACAGGCCTCCCTTATATACAAGGGAAAAAGGCAAAGTGGCAGTAGTAGCCCAGTGGTAACGCGCCTGCTTGGGAAACCGGGATAGAGCGGGTTCAAATCATGGGCCTCGCAAGTCTGAATATAGTCATGTGCGAATCATTTTCATCATGATTACTACTGCCATTACGGTGTAGGAAAATATCGCGGTTTTTTTATTTTCGTAATATGTTTAGTTAGGTTTCAATTTTAATAATTATAATTTCGATTACATCTATAAATATGTCATTCATGTTTAACAATTATTTATTTTAATAACATTATACCATACAAAGTATTTTTTCTTCTTAAAACATAATTAAATCCACAATAACTGTGAGAATCTCTGCTTTATAAACGTTTTCCTTTTATTTTCTTTCATTTTCTCGCCCACTTACAAATAAAATATACACCGACAATTTTACTTAGCTACCCAGCATCCAGTACCGACACTACGTATTAATGTCGTATTACTTAAGGACTGAGGACTTGTGTTCTGAGAAAATTACATTATTTTTTATAAAAGAAATGGTGCTTTTGAAATACAATAAATAAGTATGTTAGAATAAATAAAACTTGCTTAAATGGGAGTCAGATTCGCATTATGGAGAGTTTTGTACACTGTGGGATTTGGCGGTACTAAGAAGCCGCAGACTCGGGCCTAGAGCATATGTTTATCTAATTTTAAGCTTAGTAAATAACCTAAATTGGATATACCTACCGGTGTACTGATACCGGTGGATGTATTAGCAGATAGTGTAGACATTTTAGTTTCATATCATTTTCAATATCATAAGATCAATTTCCCTATGTTAATACATTTATCAATAAAAGCTTACGTATACGCTTTAATTTACTTTAACAGCATTTAGTCTTCTTCTGCTTTTATAGTCTTCTTTGAAACCAATGAAAATTAGGTCAAAATAGACTGGATTAGAAGAATTAAGTTACTACTGGCTTATCTATCACTTTTTTATTGCTTTACTATACATAAGCTTTATTGTATAAATACCGACGTAAAAGAATAATTTTCTTTTAAATACAATACTCATATTATGCATAATTTTAAAAAGTATCAAAGAGAGGAATGTTCGCAAATTATGAGGAAACTACTCAAATTATCATAATGTAATATATATATGTCGTGTTATCCATATACTACGAACATCATCTTTAGTGGTTACTCATCTTGTGGGCGTTATCAGGGCTCAAATAATAAAGTATTCAGTGCTCAATACACAATTTAATCAGGGAAGTCACAATGTTATAAACTTGAAAAGGTAATTCTAATGATTTAGAGCTAGCGGGTTCACAGTCACCGATCATCGACTTCCAACTACAATATCAAATATAATTCTCTATGATCAACCAACGTTACTAAGCCACGTATCTCCAAAGAATGTCGTGATGGCGTCTTATATATATATATATATATATATATATATATATATATATATATATATATGTCTTAACGGTGAAGGAAAACATCGTGAGGAAACATGCATGTCTGAGAGAATCTAGCAAGTTTTCAAAAGACATGTGAAGTCCGCCAACCCGCACTTGACCAGCGTGGTGGACTATGGCCTGATTCCTCTCGTGCTGAAGGGAGGCCCGTGCCCAGCAGTGGGACGTTAAAAAGGGCTGAATACAATATATATAAATGTAAAATATATATAAATATCCTTAAATATTATAATGTAAGATTAATAACTGTGAGACTCTGATCCCACAGACAAACTGTGCAAACAGTTTTGTAGGTCCATTGCAAAATTAAAAGTAAATCATATAGTGTAATAATTATAAATTGTAATTGTAATAGTAATTCAATTTAACGTATAGGTATAATGTGGACTTTTTGAGCCATAGGCTGTTATTGATTCGACCTAATTCAACAAACTAAGGTTGTTTATATCAAAAATAAAACCGTGTTTTTACAAGCACATCACTAAAAATAAAAATTACAGATTACGTAATATACAGTATTTACATATGAAATGGAGCGTGCTTGTCTAAAATTATCAACATCCTATAACATCAGCTATCTTCCAGTGAAAGTTCCGTCAAAATCAGTCCAGCCGTTTCAGAGTTTATCCGGAACAAACAGACAGACAAACAGACAAAAATTTAAAAAAGTGTTTTTTTCTTATAAGTACCGTATATAATTTCATATGCATTTAGTAAGACGCTGTTATTTTGACATTACAAACAGATACTTCAATTTTATTTATCTGTAGTATAGATAAAAACTTCTTTTTTGATTTAGGTTTATTTGAAACACATTTTGTCGAGATATAAAATATTTGAAGCCAATAGATAGATGTAATGATAGAGAAAATTCATTTTGCAAAGACGCCGCACACCCTCTTTGCTGGGCGTACAAATATAAATGTTTCGTTTGGCCTTCATATACCTCAACGTATATTTCGTTTTTTCGCTTATTAATTAAATATTTAGGTTAAACAAGAAAAAACAAATGAATAAAAAAACGTAACTTTTTTTAATTTTTATTGACATGAAGAAATATTTATAAAATTAAAAATAAAAGAATGGTGAAGAAGAGTGTATGGAATTAAAAAAATAAATAGCCTGAAATCATCTAACGACGATACCGCGTTAATTGGTCAAAGATCTCATACCGATACGTTCAGTAGCTTAGTGAGATGCGTCCTTACGTGCTTACTGCTTAACAGTAGTCATCCATGATCCATACTAATATTATAAATATTAAAAGTGTGTTTGTTTGTTTGTTTGTCTGTCTTTCTTTCACTTCGTAACGGTTTGGCGTGATTTTTTGTGTGGAGATAGTTGGAGAGCTGGAGAGTGACATAGGCTACTTTTTACCGCGGGAGATTATTTGATTCCCACGGGAAAACACGTTATAATACAATTCAAAAAATATTTATGATCAGAATTACTTGAAACTTGGTATTAATGCTCTTCAATAAAATTAAATAAATATGTGTTTAGCATTTGTCGAAATTCTTGCTATTAGGGGCTAAAATAGGGGATGAAAGTTTGTATGAAACTACCTAAACTACACTAAATTACTTTTTAGAGATTTTTTTGTAGTTTTATCTATATTTGACATTTTAAATAAAACTATCTTTTTATAAATAATATTTTTATAAATATCTTTTTATAAATAAAACTATTTTTTTATATTTGTATTAAACATTAAGATCCGTCTAAAATAGTTTTTTAGGTGTGAAGGTGAAACAATACACACACAAATTTTCTCATTACTAATAGTAATCTGATTAAAGGACACTAAAGGACACAGTGTGACACTGGCTTAAGACAAAGAACCTTAATGATATGAAACGTGATAGTGTGCCTGGTAGCTTTATTTCTCATGCAACGGAGTAACTAATGTATGAGATTTATTTCAAGACAGCGCGGCGTGTGGGTCGGAGAAAGTCATAATTATAGTAGTAGCTACTTGTTTCATCTATACATATAATAAAATTGTAACTAAGTCGAATCTGTACATTAAATATTTTTTGGAAAATCGTATTGAAATAGATATTATTATCGATACAGAGTCCGAATCTATAGTTTTTAGATTTTTTGTCTGTCTGTCTGTCTATCTGTCTGTCTGTTACCGCATCACAAGAAAACCACTGGACAGATTTTGATGAAATTTCGTATGATGATAGCTGGTTATCCAGGTCAACATATAGGATACTTTTTACCGCGGGAAAATGTCTCATATCTGAGAAAAAATACAAAAACTGCAATGTAAGAGTATACTAATATGTAAAAGCTAAGAATTTGGTTTTTGGTCATCTGAACGCGGGCGAAGCCGCGTGCAATGCTAGTTTAAAATAACTTATTTGAACGTTGTAATCTCTAGTATATTCAAACAGCATCACATATTCAAGTTCTGAAATTGGAAATTGCTAACGAACGTCAAATAAATAAAGTTAGCACACCACGCAAAGGTGGTAAAGCCGAAAGGTATTAAATTTCAATACTATTGGCTTCGATGGGATCGTGTCGTTGTGTAGAGTTCAGAGAAGCGAATAATGTGGGTATAGTCTCTTTGTCAGAGTTACTTCGATTAGAAGACCTCTCCCTGTGTGTTGTATGTAAATGTAGATGTGAATTTCAAACGTAACTTGCCTTAGTGTTAAATTTCTGAATTGTTACATTTGTTAATTCTATGAATGTCAATTAAATTGGATTGTACTTAACTGGCACTATTAATTAATAACTATAGATATTAGGTTTTTTTCTTTTAAATTATTCAACCTGGATTAACTAAATTGGGTCCAGGTGTAAAGAACAGTGCGCACAAAATTTCATATGTACAGATTTCCCTAAAACATTGCGGATTCACACAGACGAGTATGAACTGCTAAAGTTTTATCTGTATCGTAACAGTTCAATAACACATACTATACATATATGTGTTTACGTACAGCTTTAGTCTACGGATGTGCTTTCGTGATTTCTATCTATTAGCCAACTTTTTTTACAAGTAGCCTATTTAAAACGGTGGAAAGAGCAATTTTGCTTATTTTGATCGACTTGTGATATTATCTGGCTATGTCTAAGTAATCGAAATAAAACGTAGT